ACGGACCCAGAGTAAAATCGTAACAATATATTATGGAGTATGGTGTCTCCCACAAGGAACTGTTCTCGGCCCATTTAATTTTTAATATACATCAATAGTTCTATTTTCATTGATGCCAATGTGAAATTGGTTCGCTATGCTGATGTTACTGTGGTTCCCCTGAGTGATGTATATGGTGTCTCCCACAAGGAACTGTTCTCGGCCCATTTTATTTTTAATTCACATTAATAGTCCTATTTTCATTGATGCCAAGTGAAATTGGTTCGCTATGCTGATGATGATACTGTGGTTCTCCTGAGTGATGTAAGCTGGAATGGAGCAATCGATAAGGCAGAGCGTGTTCTTAAAAAAATCAAAATTTGGCTGGACCTAAATTTATTAACCCTAAATGCAAACAAGTCAAATTTCATCAGTTTCACAATGACCAAAAGTGGACTACCACAAACCACAAATTTAAAAATTCAAAACTCTGACTGTCAGGAAACACCAAACTGCAATTGTGCTACTGTTATTGAACCTAGGGAATATGTGGAGTATTTGGGTGTATTTTTCGATCAACATATGAAATGGAGTAAACGGTGTGAATATGTTTCAAATAAACTTCGGAAACTGATTTATAAATTTGACCAATCAAGAAACATTTGATCCGCCTCTCAGACGAAAAATATATACTCTGCATTGGCAGTATCTATAATCTATAGAGGTCAAGTCATAAGTTTTGTCGGTTACTCAACCGAAAAGATACATATAATGATGAAGATGGAAAGCCCTGATTTCGAGTGACAATGGAAAATGAAAAAACTCTACCGCCCCGTGTGAGAGTCGAACTCACAACCTCTGGGTTCTCATCACACACCAGAGGCGGCAGAATCCTTCCAATTCCCGAAGTCACTCGAAATCATGCTGTATCATGGCATTATACGAAGCATCGCTGGCAGGATGGTACTATACAGTCTCCATATTTCCCCGTTCGTCCTCTGGCATTGTCTCTCCTTGTATACGGAAATGTCCGAAAGCAATCATACATAGGAGTCAATTGGCAGAGCGTTGGGCATGTAACCCAGAGGTTGTAAGTTCGACTCTCACACGGGGCGGTAGAGTTTTTTCATTTTCCATTGTCACTCGAAATTAGGGCTTTCCATCTACTCATGTGAAGTTGGCGCCGTTTTGTTCGAAAAACTCAATTTTTTTTTTAGTTCTGAGTAGATTTGATAGAGTTCTAGAGTTCCTGACTGAAATTTTGAATAGTTCCAGCAAATCGTAGGTGTCATTGGAAAAAATAAATTTTGAGCGCTAACTTCACGCAGCGCCGTTTTTTTCGAGAAAATGAGTTCTGATATATTTTTTTGTTGTATTATAAAGAGTTCTGGAGTTCTACACCTATTTCATCAATAGTTCTGGTGAACTAAGGAAATTATCGAATAATTTAAGAAAATTAAATACGAAAATGTGTTCCTATAGCCAGCATTTCTTTGTGAAATACTATTTCGTTCTGTTTCGTATTGAAGAAAAAGCTATCGAGGAAAAAGGAGGAGGATCATTAGGAAATGTGAAATCTGAAAAAAACGAAGAAAAAAATCAGCTGTCATAAGGTGCCGACCTTAAAAAACTAACAATTTCGATGAAAAATTTATTCCAAAGAACAGGACAGTTCCGATGGGAGTTCTGAGTAGCGCTCGACGAGTTCTTCAAAATATTCTCATGGTGTTTCAGTGACAAATCGATACTTTTTCTTTCATCAGCTGTCATAAGGTGCACATCTTAAAAAACTAACAATTTCGATAAAAAATCAGTACTCAGGAACAGAATAGTTCTGATGGGAGTTCTGAGTAGCGCTCGATGAGTTTTTTAAAATATTCAAATGGTATTTCAGTGACATATCGATACTTTTTCTTTCATCAGCTGTCATAAGGTGCATACCTCAAAAAACTAACATTTTCGATGAAAAATTGATACCCAAGAACAAAATAGTTCTTGAGAGTTCTGAGTAGCGCTCGACGAGTTCTTCGAAATATTTTTTCATTATGTTCCAGAGAAAATTCAACTTCAACTTTTCTATTTTAATGCAGTGATAAGGTGTCGACCTTGAAAAACTATAATTTTCGATATAAAATTCGTAGGAGAAAACGAAACAGAAAAATCAAAACCATTTCCATTAATTAACCAGCTATTATAAGGTACCGACTACGAAAAAAACAGAAATACCTATATCTGCCTACTGATATTACGAGTGAAATAGGTGAATTTAATATATAAAACATCCCTTGAAATAACAAAAACTGGTTTTTGCCGGTCTCGGATGGTACTGCTCGGTCGGGTTGGGGTTCCCGAAGCTGTGTTTTCGGGTTCCACTATTTCACAAATTAGAATTCATTCATTCTGTTTTACGGAATGAATTTTTTATCGAAAATGCTAGTTTTTTGAGGTCAGCACCTTATGACAGCTGATGAATGAAGAAGTATCGATTGGTCACTAAAACAGAATAAGAATATTTTGAAGAACTCGTCGAGCGCTACTCAGAACTCCCATCAGAACTATTCTGTTCCTGAGTACTGATTTTTTATCGAAAATGTTAGTTTTTTAAGATGTGCACCTTATGACAGCTGATAAAAGAAAAAGTATCGATTTGTCACTAAAACACCATTTGAATATTTTGAAGAACTCGTCGAGCGCTACTCAGAACTCCCATCAGAACTGTCTTGTTCTTTGGAATAAATTTTTCACCTTATGATAGCTGATTTTTTTCTTCGTTTTTTTCAGATTTCACATTTCCTAATGACCCTCCTCCTTTTTCCTCGATAGCTTTTTCTTCAATACGAAACAGAACGGAATAGTATTTCACCAAGAAATGCTGGCTATAGAAACACATTTTCGTATTTAATTTCCTTAAATTATTCGATAATTTCCTTAGTTCACCAGAACTATTGATGAAATAGGTGTAGAACTCCGGAACTCTTTATAATACAACAAAAAAATATATCAGAACTCATTTTCTCGAAAAAAACGGCGCTGCGTGAAGTTAGCGCTCAAAATTTATTTTTTCCAATGACACCTACGATTTGCTGTAACTATTCAAAATTTCAGTCAGGAACTCTAGAACTCTATCAAATCTACTCAGAACTAAAAAAAAAAAATGAATTTTTCGAAAAAAACGGCGCCAACTTCACATGAGTTTTCCATCTTCATCATTATGAGTATCTATAATAGACTATGGTATATTACTTTAGGGTTAGGCATACAAAATAACTCTCAGCCCAGTTGACATAGCACATAAGTATATCTTGAAAGTTTTGTTTTACATTCACTGATGCAAAAATAATGAATTTGAGAAAATTATACATCTTCAGTATGATCATTTATTTGTATAAAAACAAATATACATTACAGAGAATCAATCATCCCTATCTAACTAGAACAAAATCGAAACACTATGTGACAACAAATGCAGCCGAAAAGTCCATAGGTCAGCAAAATTTTCAATACTTAGCTAATAGGATTTTCAACTATTTACCAGAAACTTATAAAATGTTTATTCTTGAAATCAATTCAATCGAATATATCAAGAAAAAATTTAAAGTATACTTACTGGAGCTAGACATTGACATTGTAGCTAGTATCATAGAAATGTAGGAACGTACATAATATATAATTATGGCTCAGGGCATATGCTAGTAGACTCTTTTTTTTTTTCATACATCCCATGACAACCTGCTGAGGTTTTATGGGTTTGGTTGTTTATTTAATACAATATAGATCAAAATGATCGAAATTACTACTTATACTACTCATATACTTTGTCATTTGTTATTTTTTTCATCTTACTTTTATATTAGGAATTTTTGTATTAATAAACATATATTATTACAAAAATGTTAGACAAATGTATATTAAAAGCACACTCTGCGTTTTGCTAGAAAATTCAGAAGTTTATTTCTTAACTTTATAGCTCATTCAACGATTACACGTGCAATAACTGAAAATGGTATTCCCACTAATGCCAAATATTCAGCAAGAGTACATCTCATTTACAGCACCTAAAATCATGAATCTACTACCACAAAATTTAAAAGATAGACATTTTAAAAGTTTAGCCAAGGATTCATCAGAGTGGATTTGCCTGAGGTATACATTCCTTTGTCAGCATCTTCAATTACTAGTATAGTTCCCTCGAGAGTTCCCTCGATAGTTCCATACTATTTATCACTCAGATGAAATTGTAGCCTCGTGATGTGAATTCTTCAAAAATGGTTATGAATAAAAAGTCATATTAATTGTACATGGTACCCAGAACTTAAAAGTATATTATTGAAATGTGCTCACAAAAATCCTCCAAGGATGTATCGGGCTCTGTTTTTGTTCAGCATTTCATTGATCTTAGTTATGTTTCTTATGGTTCATGTTGTCAAGTAGTAGGATACCTCAGAACTTTATCAAATATATTTATATTCATATCTTATTTTCTCGTACGAGGTGACTTGTGGAGAAAACACTAATTCTTCCATCATCTTGTAAACCATATGGTGTTGAATTTTTGGGGAAATACTTATCAGAAATTATTGTTTCAATATTAGGAAATTGTAATAATGGTTGATTCAAATCTAATAATGTATTGTACCCCATATCAGATTTGTACAAGTATCTTAACAAACAGGCCAAATTGTTCTAGAAAAACTTACTGATGTTGCTATTACATAATGTAATGTAATGTTGAATGTTAAAAATTGTGATGATGTAAAAAAAATCGATTATTGTAAATTGAAAGTACAAGAAAATTACTAGATGTTCAATATTTCAGGTAGTGTTAGCAATTTTTCAACGAATATTATTTCAATTTATTTGTTTTAATATTTTTCACCAATGTCCTGGAAATTAGAGGAAGTCACAAAATTCCTATACTTCATCCCACATTATTTCAAGTTTCTTTATTTTTTGTATTTCTGCATTAATTATTCAAAATTATTTCTTCTCATAACCACTAATTTCAATGTTTTATTTCCCAGGATGAATTGTATCTATGCACCCCTGCTCGTGTGGTGGATGACAAGAGCTTTTATATAGGTGAGTACAGATGCATCATATTTCCAACGTTCCTCAATACTCAGGGCCATTTTTTTTTCTAGTCGGTTTTGAGCCCAACGCCACCATGAACGTTGCCCATCATATGCTACTATTTGGATGCACAACACCCGGTACTACAGATCAGTATTGGTATGGTTCTTATCCAACGAGTTATTAGTTTTCCTACGAATCAAGCATCTCCGACCCTGAATAAGAATTGTACAGGGTGATTCAAGTTTTAAGGCACAAACTGAAATGTGTGATAGATCTCATCATTTTAATCAAAAAAGTCCTTATAAACATGATTCCGATCTCGATCAGTAGCGAAGCTAGAAGAGGTCAAAGATGAATTATTTTTTCAAGGGGTAAATCACGTGGGAAGTCCATCAGTGTACCCGAGACGTAAATTCTTCGGGAAATCTTGGTAGTCTTTGGAAAATCCAGGAATTCCTTGGAAAGTCCGTGAATTCATTGGGTAGTCCGAGTATTTTTTTGGGAAGTCCGTTAATTCATAGGTTAGTCCGGGTATTTTTTGGAAAGTCCGGGAATTCCTTCCTTATCGAATTTCAAAATGGCAAACTACTTGCGGTGTTGAATTTATTAGAACTTATTCACTATCACAAGCACTCTATCTATCTATCTACAGGGTAGTCCACTTTACAGGCGGTCGTAGGAAAACTGATTTTACTCGCATCTGTCATGGTGTCTAGCTGCCATTTTGTTGTAGGGACTGCGGTGAAATGGCCGTATCAGACCAAGCTAGCAATTTGAGGAGGGCGAGTCCATGTGAAACGGGAAACCATGTAAGGAAAACTCTTACTTCGATACTTAGGTATTTTTTGTTTCCTTCCCATATACAGGGTGTTTCCTAACTACGGTGCCTAACTGCAGGGGTTGATTTGTTAGGTCATTTTAAGAAGAAAGGTTCCTATGAACATATGTCCGGAGTTGCTTCGTTTTTGAGATACAGGGCGTTGAAATCAAATAAAAAGAAAACGGTAATAATAAAATATCATAAATATCCTGGAACCGATTTTGTTGAAATTTGGTACTTTCATTTGTCAAATCTTCAAAAATTTCCGCATATCAAGTGTCAATTATATTTTTGGCGGAAATAATGAAAAACTCATTTCTCCAATGCAGGTGTTCATGATATGCAATACAGTGGATTTAATTTTTTTTTCTGGAATACATAGCTGGATATGAAGTAAATACAGGAGACCAAAAAGTTGTATTTTGAGTTGTTTAATCTAAAAAAAAAAAATTTACCAAAAAAAGTCAGTGGCCTACTTTTTTTTACAATATTGTTGGCTGTGGGGCCCACTGAGATGCCACTGGCCCCAATAATTTCATTCTAAATAGGGCTAAATGAGCGCCTTATTAGTCCAAATAAAAGTACAAAATTTCAACCAAATCGGTTCCAGGATATTCATGATATTTCGTAATTACCGTTTTTTTTTCAATTCCATCGCCCTGTATCTCAGAAACGAAGCAACTCCGGACATATGTTAATAGGAACTTTTCTTCTTAAAATGAAATAACGAATCACCACCTGCAGTTAGGAACCGTAGTTAGGAAACACCCTGTATATAGCACACAATCGCCTAAGGACATCCTTGAAATGTCGCCAATAGCATCAGGACGTTCTATTTTCTCCATCCTAAAATCGTTATTAGGCTGCAAATTTCCACTCGGAAGGTCCCGGATAAGAAGACTTGAGGACAGCCTGATTATTTATGTACAGAGTGATTGTTTATATCTCACTCAGTTAATATAATAAAAGAACACTTAGCACATTTGAAATATGGTAGGTTAGATAAATCGTGTGCAGCTGAACACATGTTCAATCAGAATCATAACACACATATTAATGACCTCAAATTAGTTAAACAAGTTAATAATGTTAGAAAATTATATGCATATTAAAACTTAGAGCTATTCAAGAATAGTAACAGAGTAATGAATAAGAATAATGGACCTATCCCATTTAGCCCTCTGTATAGTTTAGTAATATAACATGTAAACTCAACCATGAATAACATTAACTTGGCGGTTATTTGTCTAGTCAGTATTGGGTGGACATATTCTTATTATTATATAAGTAGCCCACTTGGATAGAGCATTCAGTTTTGATCTTCTCCTGAAGATGCTAACATAGTTAGCGAAACACGTGTCGAGGTGTAAAAAATCGGTTTGGTTAGTGGTAAAACAGTGTCCAGTTTTCCATATAAATTCTAAAGTGTTGTCGCATTCTGTTTGCAGGATATATTATAAAACCATATAGATATCTATACCAAATCAATGAAATAAATAACCATCAATATTGAACATTTTGAACCATCAATAAAAAACGGCGCTTTGGCTTTGGGGGATTTTTGCTGGTCTGTATGCTTAGTGTATTTTTGCCGATTTTAGGTCATATATGCATGGGCCAGAGATGCAAAGACCCTTGAACTACCTGAAGATGTGGGCTTCCAAGTAGGAAAAGGAACCGAAATACAGTATATTGTCCTACAAATACATTACTCTAAGAAATTTCCAGGTGAGAAAAGCTGTATACAGTATGAACCACTTGAGACCACGCACCATATTTTTCAGACGATTTTAATTTTTGTTCTGTAGTAAAATGAATAAGTTCGATTGCCAGGGCTCAACGAGTTTTCAACTTGTGAAAAATAGCCATAATTAAGTCATTAGCTTTTTTGTGGATTTTTATCTTCACCGCTGTTTACAAAAGCCCACAATTATGAAGATCCCAAAATCACATTGAAAAAAAAATATTGAAAACATTAATTTTAGAAGGTATTTTTTTATGAAAATTTCAGATAATATCTGAGAATCAGCAATATTGTCAACAAAAAAGTTGAAATTCCTGCCAGAAATTTCAAGCGATTCATACCTGAGTTAGCATTATTAAAATTCAAGAATGAAGTTATGACTTCATATTTCTGTCAGAAACCTCACATCTTATTTTTTTCATCAACAATGTTGACCCTTTGAAAAATTGAGCAAAATAGATAAAACAACTTATAAAATGTACAAATTAACATTTGTTTGAAGTTTTTAAACTCTGTGGTTGAGGGTCAAAATATAAACGGTTTGTATAATAGGTGCGAAAAAAACCTCTACACCCTGATTTTAGGGCTTTAAAACGAAAACCCGGAAAAATGCTCGGACCCGTCGATTTCTGATTCGGGATGAACGACTTGTCTGATTACTTATTCATCCCCGTAATTTCAACCCCCTACCAGGGGGAAGCACAACCTCATAATTTTGAATAGGTAGGGACCCACTAAACATGATATATAACAAAAATATTCTTCAGATTTAAGTTTTGTTAGCGACTAGCCAGATGCCGGACGCCCTGTACCATTAGAAGCACAGAGCTACAGTGGTTACATAAGGTTTAGTCACCTATCTACAAATGACTGTATCCGATCAGGAGGCATTAAGGTTGATTCATTCTTATTAGAAGCGTTGTAAAGAATACATTGTGTTGAGTGTTAATAAAGATGCAAGGTTTCAGAGGGACTGATTCTGTTCTGTCAACCCTATACCGAGCAGTGCTAATAGTTTTATGATATTGTTGAAATTACATTGCGATAATTTCCTATTCAACATCATATTATGAAGTGTTAGAAACACTCCAGAGATACCCACCAAATTACATTAATCACTAGTATTATATTATCATTATTATTATATATGTTGTGTGATTCAGTACCATCACCCCGTATTATATTTAGAATATCGACGGGTGCTGGTTTTATGACTAAGAGATATTGAATGCATTATTAAGGAGTTACATCAGCTAGATAAGAGAGGGTGACAGAATAGTTGGGATGACTAGAGTTGGGACTAGAGAGCTGTGAAGGTGTTACAGTCCTAGAATACAAACTTGATATTTGAAGACGTGGATATTATTTAAGCAGCTTCTCAGTTGTCCCCCCTTAACAGAAGTAAAACGTCTATGAGACGTTGCATCAATACAATCAATATTATTGGATAATATCGTAATATTTATGTTATTTGTGCAACGTTTTCGTTTCACCACTTAATAATGTAGCTTACATGAATACAGGATACAAGGGGATAATTTTTTTGTCTGAAGCAAAGTAACCTTATCAACTGTCAAAAGTCACATCGATTCCATTCCAGCCATTATTTGTTGTTGTTTATTAATTCTATCACGGTGAACAGGTCAATCAGTGTGATCAGTGAAAAAAAAATGTTTTCAGCTATTATTCGTAGGTACCTATAGTTATCAAAGTAAGTTAAAATCTGAACAAGTCTTGGACTGAAACCAAAATATGTGAAAAAGTAGGAGGGATTCGTAAATGTGGATTGTTTTCATATTTCACGAATCACAAAAATAATGGGTGAGGTATATATAGCTAGAAGCAGAACATAGTCAGAATAGAATTTCAAAATCAGTCAGGAAACTTCCAAAAACTCGTATATACAGTATGATGCAAATGTATGGAATAAATTCATTTCAAAACAAGACGACTTTCGAAAAAAAAAAAACTAGAGTTTAGAACTTTTTTTTCGACGTATTTTTTCAACTAGACGACCCTTCGATGTTCAATTCTCAGTAACAGACCTCTGCAAGATTCAATTAATCACATGATGATTTTAATTTTAATCTTCTTATGCAACATTTTGACTGTTGATTAGACGATCGATAGACCTTTCAATCAAGGTGTCACATGACCCCTATTTGTATTTGAAAAAATCGTCCATTACGTCTTTACTCCAACACCGGTGACGTAACATCTCTCATATGAATATTATGAGATGAGGCTTCCGAAATCAAAACTCACGTGTTTTTGGAATTTTTTCAAATGTCGCCCATTTCTGAAGTAATGAATTTATTCCATACATTTGCATCATACTGTATATTTACCATTACTTTTCAGAATTCAAGACAATATGGGGTCCAGTGGGAGATCACTGGATTATGCAGTAGTCATATACCTACAAGCTAGGTATGACTGGATTTATGAGGCAGAATAACTAAAATGATACTTAGAAAGCTAGTAGTTGAACTGTCTCAAAATATCACTATGTAACTCTGGATCATACTCATAGTCTTCCAGAAGTACGGCAAGATCAATTCATTGACACAGTTATATTCAGGGATAGATCATCTTTCCTGTATTTTCTAAAGATCATTCAGATGATTCCAAAAAAAATAGACATAACCTAAAAACTATAGTTGGAATATTGATATACAGTATTTTCTAGATGTTTTGACGCGAAATTAGAGGGTCGGATATATAGTACTTGATGAAATCTTCAAAATGAGGTATCGCAACACCCCTCATCCCAATACTAAATCCGGGGGTTGTGCTTCCCCCTGGTTGGAGGTTGAAGTTATACGGGGATGAAGGAAGCAGACAAGTCGTCCCCCAAACGAACGTTTTTCCGGATTTTCATTTTGAAGCTATAAAATCAGGGTGTAAAGTTTTCCTTGGACCACCCTGTATTTTTTAGGAAATGAAGTTCATATAAACATGTAACTTTATTTTTTGAGATTCCGGATGTTGAAGTTTCAATTAATTATTAATTGTTTTTTTTTAAATTTAATCCCCCTATATAAGCTCTCATGGTTGGAAACTGAGAAAAGATGTTGATGAAAAAATATTTTTTATGGGCACATTGATACCATATATCTCGAAAACACCCTGGTAGAAATACAACTTGTTCGAATATATTGAAAAGGAATATTCTCAGATATATTTATGAACACAAAAAAACGGGATATATACAGGGTGGGGCATTAGTGCGTCGGAGCTCGATTGCTCGACATCTATGATAGAAACCTGATTCAAAAATTCAAAAATGGTTGCGAATATCGATATGGATGTTCGAATAACTCGAGAAAAATCACTGCGAAAAGTTCCGAATTGAAAAATCATTTTCAGCCACCCTGTATCATTTGAGAGCCTGAAACATTTTCAGAAATGTCACTCATCTTTTCAATAAATGATATTGAGATTATTTTTTCTAAAAGTTTATAATTGTGACAACAGTGATATTTTCGGTAAGCATCTGCAGATGACATTATTTCGACCAAAAAATTCATAACTTTGATACGAAAGAGATATAGTCAACGATATCATAGGAGTGAATGAAGATCACAGGGATGCTTGAAAAAATATGCAAATATACTGGGCATTCCAATTAAAAAAATTGATCCCGACCCTCTAGATTATTTTCGGTGCGCCCTGTATATGCGGCAATAATTTCTAGTTATGGACCTTGTTATCTCATTCACATTCGTTTTTGAATCAGGTTTCTAGCTATCATAGAACTCGAGCAATCGAGCTCTGACGCACTAATGCCCCACCCTGTATATGTATTGTAAAATTGTTCTAAAATTGTTCTATCCGTCATTCGGTTGCCTCCTTACGAGCAACCCTCGGAAGTCTTCGAGAGTCTTGTGCGAGCAAGGAGTGACTGAGGCCTTACCTTTTAACGTGTGATCCCAAACACTTTCATAGGCCATCAGAAAAATTTCTGCAGTCGATGGGAATCGAACCCACGACCGGCAAACGAATGCGGATTAGAATATTGACACTCTGTCCGCACGGCTACCTGGTCATATAAAGAAATACATTGAGAATTCGCATTCTCCATGTGATGAAAATATTAATTCTTTCTCGGTTTATTCAACAGAAAACAACTACTTTCCTGGCTATATGCCACGACGAATATTGAATTACATCTATTGAACACTCACGATAAGAATTTGAAAACAAAATCTTCTGAAGTAAAGAATTTGCATTCTCCTTCATATAAAGATATGCATATAATATCATTCTGAATATTCAACAGAAAACAACTACTTTCCTGGCTATTTGCCACGTCGAACATTGAATTATATCCAAAAAGAGAGCATGCAATATCAAAATCCTCTGAAATTGAAGATTGACATTATCAAATATATTTGAATACTAATAACACTATGTTTGTTTTTATTTTAGAACGAAAGACTGATAATTCTGGACTTTTCTTAATGTACACTGAAGAACCGTAAGTACTCGGTGCATGGTACTTCCATAACCATCATTTGGTGTTAAGTGGCTCCTTGGTTGTTGTCTTTCAGTCTTTCACTCCTTGCCCGGCACAACATTACATTAACATATTGCAGACACTCTGTACACGTGAGCATTTTCAATATCATCCTTATATTTTGGCATACTACATCATTTATTTTTGATTTAATCATGGAAGGAATGAGGCCTCTGATAGATATACAGTTTGGTTTGCTTCTGCTGTGTGAAACCTCAATTTTTTTGGGCCCAGAAGTGGGTGTCATTTGTATATTCACAAATATTATTTCGAGTATTCAAATAACTCCTTAAGTATTCAAGTCACCTAACAGTATAACGGGTGTAACAGGATTATGATACACCAAACCATTTGATGACCTTATAATTTGGTGCTAGATCAAGAAACTTTAATTTTTTTACAGAATCCATTTTTTTAGCATTACACCAGTCGATATGAGTACATTAGACTCGATCAGAATAGTCAAGACATCAAAAACTAAATCAAAATCAATATTGAAGTTTGAAATGTCATTTGTGTGGTGCCATCGGATTCAGAAAATGTTGTAGACTTCGAAAATGCAATGATATATAGGGTGTTCCATTTGAAAATCGAAAGTTATTATCACTTCCTGTAAAACCGGAAGTCAAAATGCAACATGTTCATGTCAAAACATGACGTTTATCAAGTTGATGGGTCATTCCAAACTCCAATCACTTACCTCTAGAACTAAAGGAGAAAAAGGGGGATGTACCATGATTCTGTTACACCCGGTATAGGTATTTTAATACTTCTGAGGTAGGTATCTAAAATTGAAATACCACAATAGTAGATATTTGAATATTAATCGAGAGATATAATATCATTCTGTTCATAGGTTTCATTCCTGGTAGTTACTACTTTCAATATAGTGGAAGTTTTTTTTTCAAACCTAACATCGTAAATTTACGCACACGATGTGAAAAGATTGAGATTGAGGGAACCCGTATGCTGTTTCAATTGAAACTGGGTGGGTTTGATATTAGTAATAAGCTGCCTATACAGGGTGTCCCTTTAAAAACGAAACAGAGGCTCTGTAGGCCGCCAAAAGCGGATTATGAAAAAAATCTTAAACACGTCAACTACATTCCCGAGGGAACATCGTTCTAAAATATTTTCAGCCCTGCGGCGTTGCCGCTTCTAACGAAAAGAAGCAACAACTTTGTTATTTCAAATGGAACACCTTGTATTTCATTGCATTTTTAGATTCTCCCCGAAGAGCTGATTTCATCAATGCATCACACTTTGAGTCTAGCTGGAATGATTTCAGGGATATAAGGTGTTTAAATTTGATATACTATCTACTGACCGTTAATTGGAACAGATACATGTTGATCATAATTCTGAATCTTGAACCACCCTGTATTTGTTTCAAATAAATTTCAGTAGATAGTGAATCAAAAGTTGAGATAGGGCTTTGACCAATGATGACTAGTTTGGACACAAAAAAATCCTAAAGGTTGCAAAATATCGATTTTGAACACTCTATAGCTCTGTAACCATTGCCGCTAGATCCGAAGTGTGATGCATTGAAGAAATCAGCTCTTCGGGCAGAATCTAAAAATGCAATGAAATACAAGGTGTTCCATTTGAAATAACAAAGTTGTTGCTTCATTTCGTTAGAAGCAGCAACGCCGGCGCAGTGCTGAACATTTTTTAGAACGATGTCCCTCTCGAAAATGTAGATGACGTGTTTCAGAGTATTTTCATAATCCGGTTTTGTCGACCTACAGAGCCTCTGTTTCGTTTTCAAAGGGCCACCCTGTATATATAATTAATACATTGCATTAAAAAAATGCCCATAGTCAATCACAAACTCCAATTTTCACAATAGCGCTAAAATCAATTTGAAAATTCAAATTCGAAATGAGCGGCCTTATTGGAAAATCAAGTTTCGCGTTATTCCTTCTCTACGTCGGCGCAATTCCTAATGCAGCTCAATTCAGAGTTTACCTTTTTGTTGGAAAAACAAAGCACAAACCAAAATGCGAACTCATAAATGATATAGGAAATGTTTTAAAAATACTCAATCTTTCACACTTCGTCTAGATTTTCTATGTTCGGCAAAGAAAAACTTGCACTATACTGGGTGACCCAGAAAATATGCAGCAGCTGCTGATGAGGTATACATCAGGGCTGCATTGACACCAAGGAAAGTAAGTTCGGATTATTTCCTGTTCAGCCGAAACTGTTGAAACATTTCTGTATGAATAAAAAAGTAACATCGATTATAAACAAAACTACTGGCTGTTACTAGAGTGACTTCATAAATAGAGTGACAACAATATAGTGATTTGATTTTTTGATTGGCCAGACCTCTAATATGGAGGTGCAACCACCTTCCTTGTTTTCTCCATTCAGTTCTACTCATTCTTTTTCACTTTGTCAATGCTTTGTCTCTGTTTTTTGCTTTTTGGACCCAAATATCCAACAATAAGACATGAAACTCTATCGTCAGTACCTACCTATAACTATCCGTCTTAAGGGAATCGTAAGTCTCAGATTCTTTAGATGAAGAAATGAATATATTAAATATCTAAACCTAAAATCAGGTGGGCACTTCCAATGAGCAAATTCATTACTGCATGCGAGATACCCTTCAGATTTTTAGGTATTCAGTAACTTACCAAGAATGACATTCCGGAAACGGCAGCCATTTGGAGGTCTATTGTCGTCACTCATTTAATCTACTCACTCTAGCTATTACATCTTCTGTGTCACCCAATACCTATAATAGCTTGTATTTAGCTTATTCTTATCCAAACTAGATTATAACATCGGGAATAGCTTGGTGTTTTATAAATATTTAATACCATCCCGCTTTGATTTTATTATATACAGAGTGATCCATTCAATGAAAGCGGGCTACCTTCATAATTTTTTTCTTCATGGAGCGATTTTCACGATTTTTTTCTATTGTAGAGGAGGAAAATTATATTTTGGAGCTGAGCGGAGTCCATTTTTCCAAAACACCAGAATTCATATTAGCGATTTTTTTTAGAAAACATCCTCGTACACCACTAGAATCGGTGTCCTCTGAAATAGATCTGTACCAACACTCAGACTAGAATCTAATTTTTTGAATTCTGGCGCTGTCGCACGATCCCCCCTTTACTGCTTCCCTCTAGCTAAACCTCTTTTGGGTCTCTTCACGCACTGAATACCAGATAGCGCTAGCGTTAGCACGAAGCCAGTAGTTATTGTTTTCGGACTGTCAGACTGACGTCACCAGTGACGTAACAAATCTGTTATATTATTATTTCGTCTTTTAATTCATTCATTCAAAGGTATATATTCTTATACTAGGGTCCCTTAATGGAAATTGACGTTAAAGTCATCTTAAAACAGGGTACGGACAGATCCTCGTCTCCTCTCACTCTAAAGTGTTTGTGAAACAGTTCAATTCTGGGGATAAACACTAGATTTCTGACTTTGTTGTTTTTCAGGTTATATTGACGACATTGGCGTATCATACGTAATTTCCACATTGCATTCCTGATTCAACTCTACATATTATATCCAAATGTTGATCAATAATTTTTGAATTTTTGTTTTTTTAACTCCAGCATAATTTTTGTGAGGCAGTGAGCATACATTTTTCTGGAAGTTCAATATGTTTTACCAAATGGGACTGTTCTAATGGTGAAAACTCTGATGTAGGTATTCAAACTATGTCATGTGTGCTGTATATTTATATATTCATGTTGGGTTTATCATTTTTGCAGTTTTTTTTTGAACATTCATATTTTCGTAATGAAGGTATAATTTTTTAAATGGTGGGGCATATGCCTCTTCTTTTAATACTCCGTTTGAATCGAAACTCTTTCTACTAGAGTGTATTCAAAAACTTGTGGTGTGGATAATTAGGCACGATGAGAAAGAATAATATGTTCTTCGTAGTCCTACCTCGCAAATTTGGTCCCATCACTTTCCATGTTTTAAGTTCATTTGCATTTGTTGGAAAGCTGACAATTTCAAATTTGCCAACCAACTGATTGCCTAACGCAGCACATCTTACCATCCTTCCAAAATAGAATTGAATAATGTCGTATTAAGATTGAGTACTAATTAAAATTTTGTAAGATTTCTTTTAAGGCCTATGGATGTGACGTGACAGCAATGTCATGTCAGGGACGCCAATACACAAAACCAAAGTCATTAGATCATTAAAAGAGAAAGGAGCTATGATCTGTCCGTACCCTGTAAAGATGACAAATACTTCAATTTACATCATGGGACCCTATCTTATACAAATAAAATATCATTTCTAACAGAAATCATCCATATTAGGAGCAGAACAACCAAGAATTCTACATCCCATGAAAACATGTATGAACGATGAAGAGAATCTTGAATTGAATTAAATTTTTCCAACAGTATGATTGATTCTCAATGATGTTTCCTTTGAGCTGAATCATTTCAACTGACACTATTCTGATTGTATGTATTTTTTAGACACAAAAAAATATTGAATGTCTCTCAGACCGACGTCACTGCTCATGTTTCGTAAAACCACGCCACCACTGGAGAGTTAACGAATCTACAGCGTGTCTCATTTCAAACGGCCCCACCTCTATATCTCAGTTATTGGTCTTGCGATCTTTACCAAATTGGGACCGGTCTGGATGAACCATCAACATTATCAGTTTTTGAGAGACATATTACATCGTTTTGGAAAGTGCCGTGCGTTTTTATTAAAATGAAAAGGGGCAATTATTCATGAAATCATATTTGAATTTTTTTACCAGGTAAACTAATTAACCTCATAATATCGTTCTTCATGGTTTCAAACCCCCATAAATACATTTTCATATGATTCCTATGAAGGGTAAAATAACATGCACTTCTGAACAACATTTTTGCGAACGTAATAATTATTTCTTCGGAAACAGTGAGATCGACATTAATTTTTTGAGGTATTTTCAAGAGTTTCTTCTAGAGGGTGTTTGATTACTAATTGGAAATATCTCAAATGATATAACAGACTAGAGCTGTACAGAGTGTTTTATTATTAATTATATTCACAAATTTTAAACACCCTGTAACTGCTCCTGTCTGTTATGTTCTTATGTTTTTTTGTTGAAATGGATCGAAGTATCATTTGATTGATGAGTGCAATTCATTGATCCTAACTATCGACATCAATACACATCAAAATCGAAATAATTGTGCGGCTTGATGTTTAACTTATTGAAATATCTCGAAAAATAATTACTTTATCGCCATGAAGGAGAAGTACAATATCTACGTAAAAATTGTTGAAGATTAAAAAAATTGTGATAGTATTACAATTTCGCCAGTGGCGTAAAATTTGGGTCAACCAGTCACTTCCCCTGTCGTACGCCTCCGGAAGTAGCCAGAAACGTCCATGTATAGTACTTACACTCCCCACCAAATATGACAATAATACGTCGAATAGGTAAAGTACTGAGCACATATGATTTTTAAATTTTCAAATAAAACGCCCTGTAACTCAGACAGGAGACACATTTTATCTATCTATACCGCCATTCTTTTTCTCACATCTCAACCTATTTTTCTGTGGGAAAATCAAAGTGAATATTGGTTGGTTCAAAGATTTAATCTTTTGAGGGTTTCTCAATAGTTTCTTCTATATTGCTCATCTGCCAAGGTCTATCTATCTATCTATCTATCTATCTATCTATCTATCTATCTATCTATCTATCTATCTATCTATCTATCTATCTATCTATCTATCTATCTATCTATCTATCTATCTATCTATCTATCTATCTATCTATCTATCTATGTTGCTCTTCTCCCATGGTATGTAAGTCGATGTGTATACCGTCATTCTTTTTCTATTATCTCAACTTATTTTTCTGTGAGAAAATCAAAGTGAAGAATTGGTTGGTTCGAAGATTTTATTTTTTGAGGGATTTTCAATTGTTTCTTCTATATTGCTCATCTTCCAAGATATATTATTGCTCTTCTCCCAAGGTATATAAGTCGATGTGTATACCGCCATCCTTTTTCTACATCTCAGTCAAAGTAAAGAATTGGTTGGTTCGAAAATATCTAAGGTATGTTGCTCCTCTTCCTAGGTATGTAAGTCGATGTGTATACCGCCATTTTTTTCTATCGTCTCAACCTATCTTTCTGTGGGAAAATCAAAGTGAAGATTCTGGATTTTTCATCCTCTGAATGTGATCTAATAGGCCTTGGTTTAAGAAAAAATGGACGCAGCTTAGCTCGAAAATACACCTCATTACCCCCTCTACAATTGGAAAAAATCATGAAAATTGCTCCTTAATAAAAATTTGGGGGTGTTGCCCGCTTTCAAATGGGTCACTCTATATGACCTTGAAACACGTCTATATTCATCTGATGAAATATTTCTGGAATGTCGAGAATTATGGATCAAGTAATGGTAATCTGATGTGTTCATAATAATTGTTTCACGTTCAAATGCATGAATTTTTATTGTATTATAGTCAAAGTAAATTGGCCGGAGTTCTTCTTCTTGGAGTTGGTGGCTTCATACCTCCAAGGTCATTGACCTACATGGAAACAGCGTGCCAAATCGTGGAAGACAAGACGATATACCCCTTCGCATATCGAACACATACACATTCTCTTGGTAAGAGGACTCACTACCCATATGAAACTAAACTGGTTCTTCCTACACTAGCAATATAGAACCTACCATTATTTACTCCTTTTCAAGGCATGAGACATAGCCACCTCTGTTATTATAAATCAACCCGGATTTATTGTTCTGATGCGAGATTCGCAGGAATGGTACTTGAATCCAATTGGTATTCATCAATAACTACTTGTCATGAAAAGTGCAGTGACAGTATTAGGTACATATTTCAATTTCTAACTATTATGATTGAAATATATTACTTGTGGTGAAAAATTCTTATTTATTCAACAAGGAAGTAAAGAATTCCTATCACCCAGGAACCAAGATCATATCATCTCAATGTGTAATTCTAAATAATCGAACTTTCTCACCGCACGCAACGGTGTGCCTCAGGGCTCGATTCTTGACCCCCTTCTGTTTGTACTATATACTTCCCAGTTCCCGGAATGTTCGAGTCACACAAATATACATAGTTACGCGGGTGACGAATACTCTAGCGTCACAGCATGTCAACAAATCAACGCTTTAGCCAAGTTAGTACTTTATGGGTGTCTGTAGAATTTCCCCAGCAAATCAGTCCATATGAGATTATCGAGTGAACTGCAGCGTATATAAAGGTTAGTTCTATAGCTAGTGATGGAAAATAGTCATTTATACACCAAGGTAGTAAAAAATATCATTATCACCCAGGAACCAAGATTATATACCGAGGCTTCAGCCGAGGGGTATAAGGTCCCGTTGTAATACTATTCTTCACTACCAAGGTGTGTATTGAATTTTTTCACCACTAGCAATATATTTCAATCAGTAATAGTTCTGTGAACGCCCGATGGGCTGGGGCCCTTTGGGGCCGGTAGAAATAGTGATTGAATAAAGAAATATATGTCTTCTCGACAGCTTTCTGGGGTATGAGAAGATTATAGCTGCAATTTTGTTTAGAAAAATCATCAATTTCACCATTCCTCTTTCGAGCTAACTATACGAGTATCAGGTACCAATGGATATTTTAGAAGCATACCGAATGATCGAAAAAAACACGAGATCCTTGAATAAATATTGCGAGAACATGATGTAATTTTGAATGATACACATGAATTCATTGATAAAGCAAATGAACTATTTATTTTCAAAGAATACGAAATAAAAAAGTTTTTCTGATGAGGAAGGTGGTCATGAAGCACCTCAAAAGCCCATCAAGACATTCAAAATTGAGACTCCATGTGTAACCATTGATAATATTATCACCGCACTGGAATCCAGATTCAAGAAACATAAAGAATTGTTTCACGATTTTGAACTATTTGATCCGTCAAGATTCACTGTTGATCAAATAATATTAACTGAAAACTCAATGAGAATGAGTTTTGACAATATCAGAAATTATCATTCTGCTGATGAAATATAGACCTTGATAGATTTTACCCCGCAGTGGGAAAGATTGTCGAGTAATTTATCAGAAGATATGATGGATGGTGGAACTTATGTCTTCGATGTAGAAGAGGAATTGATTTCATCAAAACACAAGTTTCGCAAAACATTTTCAATTTGTTGCTACCATGTTTTGCACAAATACAATTTATGCGTCGAGGTCTATCCATATGTAGAGAAAATTATTCTCACCCTTTCATTATCGCAGGTTTCGTGTGAAAGATCTTTCTTCTCAAAATTGAAATGTATCTTGATTAGGCTATCTGATCCAAGAACATTTGGGGGCTTTCATGATGATGAGCTGCGAAAAAATGATTTTACCGAGGATTTTACAATCAATATGAAGCGACGATATTATTTTCGATTTCGTTGAAAAATGTGGATCAATGAGAGGTTCCCTCGTTTTCTAATTTCGATTTAGAATGCGGCTTATATTTCATTTTGGATAAATAATTTTCCTGGTCTTTTTGTAGCTTTAATATTATTTACAAAGTGCCTTATGTTCCTTTACCATTTATCGACAAATTCTTTCGCTTAAGTTTGATGAGAATAAAAATTATTTGAAATATTTTTTCGCGTTTTTGTCTATGTCACTAAAATAAGTAATGAAATTATATGAATATTAGCTTTGAAATTCTCTCCGGAGATGGGCCGGTAGGGTTCAATTCGCCCGGGCCGATTCAAAGGTCCAGTCCGCCCCTGTGTGAAACTGAAATATATAAACCTATTGTCACTATGAAAGCATTTCTATTCTTTTAACTGTTCTATGATCATAACAGTGAATTTAGGTTCATTATAACAGAGATGGCCATGTCTTTATTGATAAGTAGTTCATGAAATGACAAAAACTACTTTGGAGTAAAAACACACGCGTACACCTTGAAATGGAGTAAATAATGGTAGGTTCAATTGCTAGTGGTGGAAAAAACATATTTATACAGGGTGTCCCATTGGGAAACGGAAAATGTTCAACGGTGGTTAGAGCTCATCAAACGTCCTCCTTCTTCTACCCAAGCGACTCACATATTAGTCACGAGAAAAATCCAGGTCGGGATTAACGAAAATTGATCATATTCCTGGACTTCAAAAAGAACATCCTATATTTTCGAATTTCCAAAATCCGCTCAAATGTTTTTGGAAAGAGCACAAATGGCCGAATCGTATTTTATTAACATTTTCTTGTTCTTGTTGTAATATCTCCCACTGATTCTCGGATCACTTCCTGATTGTTATTCATTTTGAATGAATACACTTCATCAGATTCAAGGTAATCTCACAGGTGATAATCCACGGGGTTCAAATCAGGTGCGGTCTTATAGTCCAGTAATGAGGACCGCGTTGTCCAATCCATGTATCAGAAAAATGTTGGATTACAAGATCACCCGATTTGACATCAAAGAATCGAAACATGCATAACAATTATAAACAAGAAATTGTTATAATCGAGGGGGAGGGCTCTTAAGAAAATGTTATAATTTTAATGTTTCAAGTTGACACGGTCGTAGATTTTTTTAGTATTTTTATTGTCCTAATATTTGAGGAAATTAAATTCTTTCAACAGTGATTTGTACAATTACTTTCCATAAATACATTAGTAGGTATTCAATAGTTATTTTGAAATACCTACGTGAAGACACACTGGGAGTATTCATCCAGGTTACAATAGCATACGGGGAAATAAAAAGTACAGCTCCTTGTGCAGTATTCAAATATGTAATCGAAATTTGGAAATTCAAAAATACAGTGTGTTATTTGGGGTCCAGAAATATGAAAAATGTTCGTTAATCCGGACCTGATAGATTTTACTCTTGTCTGATAGGTGAGACTTGTGTACCCAATTTCAAAAGAATATACTAGGTGGTTCTTAAGTCTTCACAAAGAATTGAGCAAAATTTATGAATCACCCTATATCTGGGATATAAAACTTGTGGGACCCTTTAAATATGGTTTATTCAGAACCACCGTTGAAGTTTTTCCGTTTCCCAAATGGGACACCCTGTATATTGTATACGCAAAAGCTGCTCTCTACCAGAGAGAAAGAAAACTAAGTTGAGAGCTCAACTTCTCGGAATCATCGATTCCTTTTCCTGTCAAGATTCATCAAACTTGTATTTTCAATATTCAGGTAGAGTTGTGTCAGGATACACCATCAAAAGGGACTCAAAAGGCAGGGATCATTGGAGCCTGATAGGAAAACGAGATCCTCTGACGCCTCAAATGTTCTATCCCGTTTTCGACAAAAGCCCTGTATCGTATGGAGGTCGTTTGGTAAGTCAACCTAATTTTTTAAAAAATGGTAGGCATAACGGTACTTGTAGCGAAAGATGAATCAGGTTAATTAATCAAGTAATCAACACTTTTTATTCATCAGGAATAATTTCAGAAATATACGAGAATTTTCACATTCATTTCACAATATCTCAGAAACCAACCAGTATGTGGCAACGCTGTAGGGGCATCTGAAATAAATAGTGTACGCTTGAAAAAACACCCTACCTTGTAAATACCGACTCATCTATAAACTATTGTCGCTAAACATAACTGAGCTAGATGCAGGATATTAAAATATCATCAAAAAACGCATTCAAAATGTTCGCCAGTTGCAACAGAGAAAAGGCTGCGCGTGCAACCAGAACGAGTAAGAAGATCCATGTCGCACATGCGCACTCGCGAAAGGCACACCAATATGTCAGATTGTTCAAACTGAATTTTTTGGAACTTTCTTTCTTCCCTTTGAAACCACCACATTCGTGGAAACATTAACACACTGGCTGCCGGGACCCTGTTTTTCTCTCTATTACCTACAGGATTTGTCAGTCATATGTGACCGACGGTGACTTACTTACTTAAAAAACAGTGCTTGGCAGTGATTTTCAACCGACAACAGAAGTTTCAGTTCGAGCCGAGTCATGCGAAAACGACCGACGATGCATTCAAATCTCCATTAGATCTGAATTCGCGGCGCTCAAATGATCGTATGTGAATTTTTTGTGGCGCTCAATATGAAATTTATAGCTACAATAAGGCCTCAAAAACGTTTATTGAATAAAATTTGAGAAAATTCATGAACATATATGAATCTAATTATTGTTGGAATGGGTTTTCACATGACATTCAGTGAACATAGAAGGCATCTCTTGGCAGCCTTCTCAATGCGTCCGCGCTTTCTTCACCCCTTTCTTGTACATATTGTTTCTCGAGATTTTTGTAACAAATTGAACAATTTTACTAGCTTTCGGTGTTTTATTATTTTGCTATTATAGCAAATGTTTCAACCCCTGTGAGTTTATCGATAAATTAATAACTAATAGGAGTATATCATGCACTTTTACTTATATACATCGAAAAAATTGCCTTGTCAGGCCGCGTCGGTCGATTTTAGCTGACATCCTTCATGCTCTTCTGTACACCAGAACGACTTGATGTCTGATGCAGCAATATGCTGATCACTTAGATGCCCCTACTCTGGAAACTTCGCGTGGCCTGACGCGTTCGAACCAATGAAAATGCATCGGCTCAGCACGAGATCAAGCTGTCGGTCAAAAATGACTGACATGGCAGTCAGAGTGTTAATACTTTTGGTTCAATGGATAAAATCCATAAAATCGATGATTCAAATGTTTCTCATGTCGATAATTTCATTGCAATGATAGATTTTCAAGACTGTGTCAATTTCAGGCTGCCAGATGTACTATGGATAGTAGAAAAAGAGACAGGGTGACTCAAGTTGGGTATGTATTGATGACCATTTCTGCATATCTAATGTCGAACGTCCAGGTTCCTCAGCTATACAGGGTGGATGGAATTCGAGCCTCATCATTGGTTAATTCATGAAAAAGTTTAATCTTCACCACTTTTCTTCAAAGCTTTTCAATTTGTTTCACCCTGTACAGGGTATCCCAAATTCGAGGAGTATCCTTGGAATCTCGGTAGCCATAACAGATTAACAGATACACAGTCGGTTGAATTGGGGCAAAGTTGCGCAATTTGCTGATGATCAGAATGCAGCCTCAAAAGTTTGGAAATTCTGAATACTTCCGAAGATATTTGGAAAAAACCGTTTTTACTTTTTTCTGACTTCATTTGCAGTGATATGACAAAATGAGTTCTATATATCACCATTGCCACTTTTTCCGCTGTATCCAATGATATAAATAGATTTATGATCAGACATTTCGTCTTCAAGGAGCCATCATCAACTTATTTTTTCAAATAGCCCTAAAAAAATGTTCTGTCCCTTAAAAATCCCAATTACAATTCTGAATCCAATGGCATATTACACTTAACAACTATCCGACGTTTCGGACCAAAAAATCGTCATCAGTATTATTTGATGATGGCTACGACAAAACGAAATGTTGGATCAAAAATTTGACGTTTTCGTAGCTATTCGTCCTCCTTCTCAAGTTGCCGTCAGATTTTTTATCTGACCTTTCGTGTTCTCGTCACCATCATCAAATAAGACTGATGATGAATTTTAGGTTCGAAACGTTCAATCATTGTAATGATGTAGTTGCGATTCCGAATTGAAATTAGAGTTCTTCATTGTCAAAAAGATGGTTCGACCATTTAAAAAAAACATAGTTGATGATGACTCCTCGGAGACGACACGTCGGATCACAAATCTATTAATACCATTAGATAGAGCGGAAAAAGTGGCAATCATAATATGAAATTAATTTTGTCATATCACTTCAAATAAACACAGCCAAAAAAAAGGAACCAGGGATATTCGATGCTTTTTAAATTTCTGAGGAAAGATTCGGAATTTCCAAATTTTTCTGGAAGACGAAACGCCGGGATTCAAATTTGAAAACGCCACCTTGTAGGGAAAGAAAAGTGGCGATAACAACAGTGTCACTCATTTCTATTATAAATGAATTTTGAAAAAATATTTTTTTCGGCGAAATATTGCTATAGACGAATGAATTTAAGATCTCAGCGCCAATGTGGTCGGTTGTGGAACTTCATGGAAATACATTGTTTTGAAATGGTTCATTTGCTTCTGTGTATCATTTCAATTTTTGGGTTGTGATTTAAGCAAAGAAAACTTCACTTTTGACTGTTCACTTGTATACTCTTGTGATTCGAGGGAGCTTTTCAGCAGCTATTCGTTCAATAAAGTTTGTTTCACTACTCCAAATACATGAGAGTCGCGAAATAAAAATGCCCCAATTTGAGGTTACGTCAGTGGTAAAATAAATATTGCAAAATAAGTGGAGTGAATATGATGATGAAGTTCACAGAGTAGGCATTTGGGATGTTAGTAAGTATACAGGGTGAATCTAAATAACACCGAAAAATTCAAGGGGTGATTCCTTGTGATATTTTAGGAAATAAAGTTCATATGAACATGTGTCCTATTTCCAAGAAAAATCTTTTTTTTTTCATTTCTCAATTGTCTTTTCATCAATTTCAATAAAACGTTGTGGTTTTGTTAATAGTAATATGGAGTTCCTTCTGCTGCAATTAGATTCGAAATAATATTTCCAGTGGCGTCACGGTGCGTAAATTTATCGATATTTATGGTGAATGTCATTGTACGCCACCGGTTTTTCAGAGTTTCATATTTTATTAGATTGAACTATTGAAATAACAACTTTTTTATTCTCTGTGTGCTTTTTGTATCTAGCTCAGTTTTTGAGGAAACAATAAAAAATCGATTTGTCTCCAAATTTAATGTAGGTGTCTGCAAGACTTCCATTGAGATTACTCAATAACCCCAATTACAATCACTTTGAAATTTTGGGGCTTCCTCAGTATCCATCCATACTGAATTTTGGCACCATGAAAGCTTATACAGGGGGGGGGGTCAAAAATAAAAACAATTAATACTTCCAACTTCAACATCTCAAAAACGGAGCAAGTTAGGACACATGTTTATATGAACTTTATTTGCTAGAATATCACAAGGAATCACTTCTTGAATTTTTTCGGTGTTATTTAGATACATCCTGTAGTCGATTCATCTACATGTATTTATGAAAGAGAAAAAGTGCTCAAGCTGGATGTATGTACGAATAATTGATCTACTTCTACCCTAATAACACACGTTATCCAGACGACATCCATTTTATATCCATTTGCCGTCCAAGACATCCATGGACGCCATCAAATGGAACTATCTTCTGATGTACATTGTTGTATATCCAGCTGATGATCTAGTATGTACTCCATCTGGAAGCCTATCTATGTCCATGGACGCACATCGAATAGCCACTTGGATGTCCATACCGGATACTTGGCAGTACAGGGTGGCCAACTAAGACTCCAGAGTTCGATTTCTCTGTTGTCTTGAGAGATACCAAAAAAATGCATGCATCAAAATTGAAGTAATAACCGAGCTTCACATTTCAAAATTTCTTTGAAATACACAGGGTGTTCCGTAAGGTCACAGCATATCAAAGCTATGTTTTTTTCATTGGAACACCCTATATTTTATTTCATTTTTGAATTCTCCCTGAAGATCTGATTTCAACGACGTATCATACTTAGGGTCTAGCAGTGAAAGTTACTGACATATAGGGTGTGCAAAATCGAGATTTTCCAAGTTCAGGATTTTTTTCTGTCGAAACTGTTCATTATTCGTCAAAACGGTTTACATGTCCCTATCTCAACTTTTCACTCACTATCAATTGGTGTTCAATTGAAATTGATACAAGGTGGTCAAAAATCTAAATTTATAAGTGTATTTTCGGGATGTCCATTGCAGCGAGAAATTTTCAGAAGAGTGAAATGAGAAGAAGAAGATCTGAATTCATCTGTCAGAATTCGAAACATAATATAGGTTATGTTTATTTCATTCATTCATTTTGGTGGACTTTCATGATAATTACTAGTATTTTATAGTTGAATTATGCCCAAGTTTCCTGCTTTAAACGGCCTTCATACAAGTAAGTTCTTATTATTTCTGTGTCTATTCAGGTGTACCTAATTGCGAATTGTTACGATAACTTAACATATTTCTTGGATAGGTAGGTAAGACACCCTTCACCAGAATGAACAGAAGGAAAAGGATTTGAAACAGGTTCTTCCGACGTATCTACTATAAAGTAGAAAAAAATTCATCGGATGTTGACAAACTCTTGAATGATACGACAACAGATGATGTGTGGGCAAGAATCACTGACAATTTCGCAGTTTGAGGAATTTTCATCTTGGGGCCAATTATCTTGCTCATCGACCTAAACTGACGATAAAAATTTATGGAACACCTTTTTCACTACATGTGGCTCTTGCATGATGAGGCTCCACCACATTACACTCTGAATGTCCATTGCTGTTTCATTCAACAGTTTTCAGATAATAAGTAGATGAAACGGCAGAGGAAATATACTATAGTTTATGGGGAGCAGTACCTATAAATTTTAAGGTGTACTTCAGACCAGTAAATGATGAACAGGAATTATGGAGACAGATTCAGAATGCATTGAATATTTTCAAAAACAATGCAGAAACGATGCAGAATACGCATTTCAGTTTTTGTGCTGCCAGTGCATTGGACCACTTCTTTTCCAATTTACCATCCTAAGTAGGTACTATCTATTTTTTTATCATATTATAGGTTGGTATATATGTCCAATATATGGACACCATATGGATGTCCATAAAGGACACCAAATGGATGTCCATCATGAATAACATATGTATGTCCTAAAATGTGGAAAGCTGATATCCTATGGACATCCATAGGATGTCCTCTGTACACAAAGTGGTTATCCTATGGATGTCCAGGGTGTCCGGGTGAGGATATCCATTGGATGTCCAATGGATGAAGGTGTGTTATTAGGGTAGTTGGAAAAATTGAACATCTGTGCTTTGCTGTTGTGTAAGTATTTAATTTTTTCAAATTCCTCCTGCAACTTTTCACTTCTGAGAATAAAATGCAACTGAATTCAATCTCGAACTTGAGAGAAAATCTTTCAATTATAAAATGATTGAAATTATCAATCGTGAGAAAACTTTCATGAATAACATGTGAAACCGAGCAATAACGATTCAAGATACTGTACACTCGATAAAATTCATGGGAACTTGAATGTGAAGAAACATTCAATGTACTTTCCATTAGTTACTTGAATATCCACAAGAGGGCGTATCGCTTATAACTAAACCGATCCTGTAGGCTCGAATTTTCACCACCATGTACTCAAATTGGCCGTCGTTCCTTTCAGGCCAACGAATAACGACGAAATGTGCAATCTTTACATCATGTATTACGTCCAAAACACCACACCTTTGGACATGAAATATTGCATCACGGAAGGACCTCCTTACTACCATTGGACGAACGAGGGCAACGACCTAAATAACGTTCCAGACTTTGAAGCTTCCTCTTTGGACTAGGCTCGAATCTCAAATTGACCAAAACTTCTTAGTTCTATAGGTACATACATTCCGGGAGAGATTTTATTCGTATTGTACAGGGCGCTTCCGAAATTGATACGAAAGTGACAAGGAAAAAAAGAACGAAGGAAAATATTTTTGTCTAAATCTTTGATGAGGGGTTAACAGTTAAACCCGAGGGTTTGCTTTCGGTGAAGTCAGAAGCACCGGTAGTTCAATGATTTCTGCAATGTTGCCAAACGTTCAATAATGGTTGAAATATGGTATAGTAAGTGAAAGCATACATTTTTGGAAAGTCTGTGTATGCTTTGAAATAATATACACGGTGTTTCATAGTTGCAGTTATAAAAGCCTCAGCCAATTGTGGAAAATAATGTGAATGAACATGGGTACAAAAATGCTTCGTTTCTGAGATATATGGTATTAAATTTGAAAAAAATTCAATGGGACTTTCACGGTTTATTAGACATCTACTCTACCAATTAGATTTGATCCTGAATTTACACAGATGTACCCAGCAGACACCCTGTACTTTTTGCGGTTTTCCTTCATTGTTTAACAACATTTTTATCCCTCGATTTTTTTGTGTCTTTTGCTTTATTTTCGAGAAAAAATACACTGCCACTTGGCATACTTGACTAAAAATAAAAAACTTAGGAAGTATCCAAAAATGAAATTGTCATTTCTTCGTAATCACAAATACCATCTAAAATACTGGAATTTACCTTCTTGACCATTCTAAAGGTCAGTTTTTCATCTGAGTGAAAATTTGGAAGCACGTTTGAATTCGAGCCAAAATTTTACTCTATGTTTTTTGTTTCCACATATTCAGAAACGTACCAAGGTATGGTATTGTATTTTTCTCTTGAAAACGGCCACGGACCAAAAATGTTATATTTTTAGTGGGTTCAATCAAATAATTGAAAACCGCAAAAAACGACTTCCAGAGTAATATTCTTTCTGCAATGGAAAATCTGGATCAGAGCTAATCAGTCCAGTAGATATCTCATGATTGTTTGAATATATCGTGAACATTTCATTCAAGTCGGCCAGAAAGCTTTTGAATTATTAATGAAAAACTTAACAACCAGCATTTCAGAGATAATCATCTTTGGACTGGAAATTCTGTCCATATTTTGCTGCATCCGAAACACCCTGTAGTCATAATTTCCCATACATTCAGTATCGGTTCAATTTCGGAAAAAACCCGTAGATATACTATATTTTTGTATGATTATTTTCAGCACTCGAGCAATTCTTGAGTACATGTGGAATATTTTCCATAATTAATGATCCATTTTTCTAGCACAAAAGCGATTTACGTACTTAATCACAATGTACTTAATTTTCTTATAAAATTCGAAGGTCAAACAAGAATTACACCAAGAAGCGGAACTCAAAAAGCACTCAGTATTTTTTATTAGAAGCGTCTAGAAGAACTTTTTCTATGAGCTTTTTTATCTGGAACATGAAGGTATAAAACATAATATATCGATAATTTTGAGTTTCGTCAATTCCAAAATGTTTTATCGGAACTTGAATCACCCTGTAAAAAGCGTGTCTCTGTTTTAAAGCAACAAACTTCATTTTCGTGTAACGCTGTTGACTTTGAGTTTCAATTTCCTATAAACACACCCTATATCACTTTCCAAACGTATACCTACACCAATTTCTAAGGAAGATACTGAAATTTCAACATTTTCTGAGTGTCCTTTCAATAACTTATGAAGAATAAAGTATAACACAACTAGTCAAAACTCAGAATAGACAAAATCACCAAACATTGCCCATATAGAAGTTCAAAAACTCACCTTATTACGATCCTGTTAATTACCATTTCGAGTGGTACAGGCCTTCCCACGAGTCCTCCTCTTTGTTCCTTCAAAAAACTTGTGTGTACTTACCTTTGCACCAAATTAACGAACATTTTCGATGTTGTGGATGTTTTCTTATCGGAAATAGTTCAGTATACAAACGAAATGCTGCTGCTGCTACTGCACTTTGGCGACACTCACCAAAAATCAAAAGCATGTAAAACAATTTAATTATTACAATTTGATTATTTTCGTAAATGTGCTACATGGTTTCGACAATTCACAACAAAGACAAATGAGAAAGAGGATCCGACAGACTAACAAAATTCTACTATGGACAGTAGTTAGTATGGGGCCAGGGGTCAGTCGGGTAATCACCGAACAGAAATTCGTGCGAACAGGACCGTAATGAATTTTCTTGAAATGTATGAAATGTTCAATTGATAATATCTCTTGAGGCGATATTCGATGGATCTGTATCTATCAATGAATTCTACATCTTCTTGAAAAAATGCCACACCTCTGAGAACATGTATATTGTCATTTTTCAAACCACATACTTTCAAATTTTGATATGACCGGAAATCAATAATTCAAATTATGTACTTAAAAAATGCGACTTGATAAAGACGTGGTTGAAAAGTAGTAGGCACCTACTCCTGATCAGACTCAACTATACAGGGTGTTCTCTAACTACGTTACCAAACTTCAAAGGGAGATTCATCAGGTTGTTGCTTCGTTTCTGATCTGAGATACAGGAGTTGAATTTGAAAAAACACGATGCTTGTCAAATATCATAAATATCCTCAAACCGATTTGATTAAAGTTTGATACGTTATTTGAAGTAATGAGGCGCTTATTCAGCCCTAACTAGATTGAAATTAATTGTTCCAGTGACGTCTCAGTGGGCACCACAGTCAATTATATTGAGAAAGGAGTTCCCACTGCCTTTTTTGTAATTTTTCAGATTGAGCAACCGAAAATATAACGTCTCTGTGTTTTACATATCTAGCCTCGTTTTCGAGATAAATAATTGTAGTCACTCAATTGCAAATTTTGAATGTGGAAAAGAATTATTTTTTATTAATATTGAAGAAACATCTCGCTATTTGTCTCAAACTTGGTACTTCCTTTTTTACTCCTTTTATTTCGACCTAGTTATTTAATTTGACTTGATCCGTCCAGGGGCGTTTTGGAAGGCAACCGAGTTGAAATCTCCAACGACCTGTATCCCAGAACCGATGCAACTCCGGAAATTTGTTCATAGGAACTTTTTTTCTTGAAACTATCTAACGAATCAGCCTCTGAAGTTTCGTACCGTCGTTAGGAAACACACTGTGTTCTGTATTTTCAAAATTAATAAAAATTAAATAAAATAAAAATAGGATACGAAAAAATTGTAAGTAGGCACCACATATTGTTCATTTGGAAATGAAACTTTGAATATATGTACAGGGTGCGCCTCTCAAAATGAACCCCTCCCCCCCCTTAATTCTTTTGTTTTCAGAGATATGAAAAAATGTTGAATGAAAAAGTTTGTTGAAACGACCCAAACTTTCATTTCGTGAAATTGTTCGATATTTCATTCGTTTTTTTTTTTCGGAAAGGACATGAACTTGGAACACCCCATATATTTTCCGACATGTCGATAGAGCCTCCTTTTCTGATTTCAAAAATAAATATGAGTTGCATATTTGGATGGAAAATAGTTGAGTTATTGATGATCAAAGTTTACGAAAATACCTCTTTATGAACCTTCACTTCATATCATCTAATGTAACTTTCCGAAAAAAAATGACCCTGTATATGAAGCAACTTCACGAAATAAAAGTTTGAGTCATTAAATACAACTTTTTTTATCTAACATAATTTCACATCTCTGAAAACAAAAGAGCTAAGGAGAGATTCGATTTCAAGAGGCGCACCCTGTACAGGGTGATTCAAAAGTAAGCGGCGGCATCCTTTCATGGGCGTAATCCTTGTATAAAAATAAGGCTTCGGGGGCTACTCTCTATTGCAAAAGACACCTCTTAAACGGATTTTTTCCCTGCAACTTTTTTGAAAAATTGATGAAATGACGCCTGTGATGCCCCTAAATAATATTTTAGAATTCTGAATTTATATAGAATCGTATCATCAAATTTTTTATCGTACACCAATTTTCGAAACTAAATTGTGAAGGGTTTCAAAATTATAGAGAAAATATCCTTAGGAAGAATTTTCGGACCCATATTAAAAGGAACTTTTTGCCTCATTTTTATGCAAGGAAGGCGCCTCCGAAAGGATGCCGCTTACTTTTGAATCACCCTGTATGATAAAAAAACTAATTGAGCAACGTTTTACTGGTCTTGCAATAGGTTTCTATAAAGACCATTTACATACACACTGTATATCACACCATTTGTTTCCGAGAAAATATCGAATTAATTATGACCTATTGATTGAAAATTAAGGCAGCTGAACTATAATTATTGTCCATATTTCAAGAACTATCATACGAGAGGGAGAGGAAAACAAAGTTGGGTCTTCTCACTCTTTTTCGGAAGTTGAAGAAAATATTTGGTTAACAAGAAAAGGTAAATGCATACAAATCCAATTTCATCATAAACTCAGACAAAAAAATGATGAATTTAAAATAATCCTCTACAGCCCTTTGACCATTATATATAGATACCTGATGATGAACCAATCAATACCTGTCAATTCCGCAATCCTCGATTTTAATTGTATATTAATGACCTTGTAGTGGATTTTGATAGCCCTAGAAGTTGTGTAAATTTCTGAGGATATGGTACAATCTTAGACAGATGTACGCATGTCCGGAGTGATGTCAATTATATCGTATAAACAAATGTAAACGATCAAATTCAGATGTTATATAGCCATTGCACCTCTTTTGCTCTCTGTCACTATTGAAATCATTAAAAAATGTACCTTCAGAGTTTTATCAACTTTCAACAAGCAGCGTACAAGCATCAACTTTCTCTACGAGTATTCGTAGTAAAATTTCAAACATTCCATGAGAACAGTCGCAGAGAAAGTATAGTCTTGTACTTGCTTTTGAAAGGCGCTGATACACCCTTGAGAGTAATAGCCGTTGGAGAATATTCTATCCTACTCATTTCTTTGATGTCTCTAACATAATCGATGTTTCAAGCTACTATTCTAAAGACTTTAGCATTAAAACTATATGAGGTGATTCACATATACGGTGCATTAAATGATTTTTGACATTATTTGGAATGAAAACTCAGACTTTTTTCAGCCTTGAAGGGCCTTTAGATCTGAGTTCTGTGTTATGTCTACATAGTTCTAAAAGTTTTTCAAGTACATTTGACGATTTTCAAATATTGAAAGTTCTTTTTTTTAACTCTTTCAGGTACAAGAATTTCGAAATATAACACCCCCTAGATGTACAGCTTTATTTTTCTTCAGATTTTCAAGAGATTCATTAACAAACTAACTTCAAATGACTCAAAAGATACGAACAAATATAAAATAATTTCAGAATTTTCCAATTTTTACAAAAAAACGGTGGGTCAAAATCTAACCCACCATTCCATAAGGTGAAAGATTTCATGAGAATCGACTCATTTCAAATCACTGTGAAACGTCTGCAAACATGTTTTGTTCTCCGCAAGACAGAGTGAAACACACAACCAGTTTGTTCCAACTTCAAACTTTCCTGAATTGCAAAGAGCATTATC